AGCCAGGCCCAAGAGAAGGGCAAAGGCAGGACAGGAGTGAGGCTACATGGCCTGGGGTTGGGGGGGCCAGGGTCAGAGAATGCCATCAGGTGTGTCCGTGGCCCACAGACAGCAAGACAGTACCAGGGCTTAAAAACAGGCAGAGAAGATACCCAATGTGGGGAGACAGCTTGAGTACAGAAAGAGTAACTGAAGAATGCCACCCCCTTGATCTGGAGTAGACTTGAGGCATGGATGAACTCCTGGTGCCACTGTGGCAGAACAAGGCGTGGCTTGGGGGAAGCCAACCAAGGCCCACCACTGGCTTCTTCTAGGGACTTGGAATGGCTACTAGCTTTCCTGCACACAGGTAGGGCCAGGAGGTCTCAGTAGGTAAGCCAATTTGGCCTGTAAACAGCTACCTATTAATAACGTGTGTTGTCACATAATAGCACATGTTTATTCTTAAAATCCCTTAAGGGTCAGGGAGGAGACAAAATCCTCCCAACAAAAGCTTCCTCTCTGAAAAGGAGAAAGGGACATTTGACCTTTTTGACCTTTGGATCTAAAAAGAATGAACATGGGCAAAAGATGAGGGGTGCCAAACTATCATTTCCCAAAGACACCCTGGGGAAGAGACTAGAAGCACCTCAAGAGTCAGCCAAACTCCTCGGGCCAGGGGGCAGGGTTCAGGGAGAGGTAGCCAGGGCAGCTGAGAGCCCGAGCGTCCTGCTGTTGCTCAGATGCTGGGTTGGGCCGGTCCCTGCCTGGGAGGAGTTTGGGTAGTTCCAGGAACTTGAGTTTCAGGCTCTCTACCCAAAGGGCCTGGGGGCCTGAGGCAGGACAGGGCCAGTCCAAGGGGCTGCAGTTAGATGTCCCTAGGACAAGAAAGGGCCAGCTGGGCTCACTGTGTCCCCACTCCCAGAGCCAGAAACTGAGAGGAAGGAAAGAGAAGGATGCTCTCCAGAGAGGCCCAGCACACAGACATAGGGTGACAATACTCAACGCTCTTTCTTTGCTTATCCTCTGGCCACTAACTGACCATATTTGCAGGACTCAATTTCCCAGGGTTTCTAAGCTTTGGAACATCAAGTGCTTTGACAAAACAGACCAACACAAGGCTGCCTATATTTTATTCTTCCAAAAAGATTTAAAAAGAAAATGACATACTGTCATTTCTTAAATGAAAAAGGATTTTAATATGACATCAAGTAAGAAGGCCCTAATTTCTGAATGAAGGACAACCTTTAGGTGGAGAATGTGTAGCATCCTGAACCACCCCCGCCCCCCCGCCCCTGTTGCTCTTGGCTTGAATGGCCATCCTGCCTGCAGTCTGTCACATAGCCCCTTCTCCCCCTGTTCCCTCATGGATGACCTCTTAGCCCTCCTCCTCCATCCCTCGCCTCCTACAGGGCATATACCTGCCTGGATTGATCTGGAGCCAGCTCTTTCTCCCAAGAGGATTCCAGGCCAGGTGTCCCTGGCTCTAGTTCACCCTGGCACACAGCTCTTCTCTCCCTCTGCACAGGCCAGTGGCAATCAGCCAGCCTATATGGAAGCCACCTCGCAACCCTTGACAGTGAGCTCCTCAAAGGCTAGGCCCAAGCCTGTGCCAGTTTATCTCTGAGTTCCCCATGTTTGGTTCAGCCCCTGGGACACGGAAAGATACCAATCAAAGTCCCCTTGACTGACACTTTCATACACTTTAGTGCATAAGGAATATCTGTCTTTCAGTGACCTTCACGTTACCGTGTTGCTTTAACAAAAAAGGGGCCTTCTGGTGTCATTAATGAATTTTTTATTTTTTTTGAGACAGAGTCTCACTTTGTCACCCTTGGTAGAGTGCTGTGGCATCACAGCTCACAGTAACCTCTAACTCTTGGGCGTAAGCAATTATTTTGCCTCAGTCTCCCGAGTTTGTTCAAGGCCCTAGAATTAGATAGGGGCTTGGGGAGAAGCTTGGCTAACTGTTCATCTTATAGATGAGGAGACTGAAGTGTAAGGAACCACAGAATAGGTAGGACCTGTCCCTAGGCCCAGTGCTCTGTCCACACTACTGCAGAACATTCTACCAAATTTGGGAAGGAAACAGTTAAAAAAATGCAAATGTAAAGCTAGCTCAGAAAGACAGCACCTAAGCCCCAGAAGGACCCTTGGGACTCTGTCCCATCCTGGGACTGCTCCTGTGTTCTTGACCTCTCTCTTCTCCTAGCGGCCTCTGTTTCGCTTCTCAGACTAAGCAGGATCAGTCTCATTACTTCCATTCTTGGTCATGCATATACCTCAGGAGACAGGTCTGCAGCCTCATCTGCATACCTGACTCTCCAAACATTCAACAAGAGCAGGCTCTGCCTGGTCTTTCTTTCTCCAGCTAAATGTCACAAGTCCCTTTATCTGTTCCAGTGGTGATAAGCAGAGAGAAACTGTAACATCCTATTTCTTTCTTCCTTGAATACTGCTAGTACTGCAAAGGGAGTCATGGCAGACCAGCCACACAAGAGATCCTTGCAGGGCCCTGAGATCACCATGGAAGCAAGATGCATAAGCTCTCTGCCCTTGAAAAACTTAGGTTTTATTGAGGAAATGGACAATAAGTAAACAAATCAGTTGGTAATTGCAGATAGCAGTGAAGGAAATAATCAGGATGCTATAAGAGAGATGTCTCATGAAAGGGAAGGCTAAAGAACTCAGAGGTGATATTAAGCGCCCATCTGAAGGATGGGACATTAGGCAGGTAAAGAATAGAGGCAGGAGTATTCAAGGCAGAGAATCCAGAAAGCACAGAGGTCCTGAAGTAGGAACTGAGCCCGTGGATGAGGTGCAGAGGAGGAAAGGAGGCTGCCAGCAGGGCCGGATTGCCTATGAAGACTGTATGTGTGTATATGTGTGTGTGTGTGTGTGTG